TTCCATCACCAGCAAATGGCGTGATTGAAGCTCTTTTGGTACCTGATGGGGGAAAAGTCGAAGGAGGCACTCCGCTTTTCACACTCAGGAAAACTGGTGGTAAAGAAGTTCTCCTGGTGGTCAAGGTCTCCAGTGTTCCCTGTTGGGATTGGGACTGAGAATAACGTGCTAATTCTCTGATATGTCAAAGACTCTGTCCTTCCAACTGTCCTTAGTTGAGGGAGTAAAGGGGAAATTTATATATTGTGAACTTTAAATGTCAAATTCTAGAAGAAAAGTTTATTTAAAAAATATTACACTGTTCTTTCCATGGGTGTTTCTTAGCAGGAGCTGAGAAACTGGACCTTTTTTTATAGATAGACAGATGGAGCATACCTAATCTGAAAATCCAAAATCTGAAATGCACCAAAACTGAAAATCCAAAATCTGAAATGCTTCAAAACTTTTTGAGCACTGACATAATGCTCAAAGGAAACTCTCATTGTCTATTATGGGGAATTCAGTGTTGTTTCTTTTCACATCTATTCTCTCATATCATCTCTAGGAAGGATTGGTATTTCTCTTGGGAAGAAAGGAGAAACAAAAGAATTTGTAGTGGACCTGATAGGATTAGAGATTAATAACTGTTATCTGACTCAGTTAAATTTTATAACCACTAAAAAGACTATTTCTTTTTCCTGGGTGAGAATCATACGCCTAGACCAGCAAGCCACAAAAGTTTATTTCTTTTTCACTGTTACACTCATAAAGCAGATAGACCACATCATTGAGGTTAATCAGGACAAGACCAGAAGCTCAGAATAGAAAACATGTATGGTCGAAGGCTAGGAAATCAGAATAGTCCTCCTGTTGCAGATGTTTTTCTTAGCATTAACCGTAGGAAATCAGAATAGTCCTCCTGTTGCAGATGTTTTTCTTAGCATTAACCCTAGGAAATCAGAATAGTCCTCCTGTTGCAGATGTTTTTCTTAGCATTAACCCTGGATGTAATGTCCAGATGGTTAAAAAATAGAAACAAACATTTCGTTTAAAGTTGTGAGATTATTACTTGGCCACCTCAGTGATTTATGAGTCATCCTCGATGAAGCACTTTCTTAAGCCTAAGTAAACCCTTGATGAACCTTTTATTTTAGTTTTTTAAATTTATTTTTTACTTTATTTGAGATGGAGTTTCGCTCACACTGTCGCCAGGCTGTAGTGCAGTGGTGTGATCGTGGTTCACAGCAACCTCTGCCTGCTGAGTTCAAGCGATTCTCCTGCCTCAGCTTCCTGAGTAGCTAGGACTACAGGTGCGTGCCACCACGCCCAGCTAGTTTTTGTATTAGTAGAGATGGGGTTTCACCATGTTGGCCAGGATGGTCTCAATCTCTTGACCTTGTGATCCGCTCACTTTTGCCTCCCAAAGTGCTAGGATTTAGGTGTGAGCCACCGTGCCCGTCCTATTTTTTAATAGTATTCTTGCATATATAATGTTAAAATAGAGGATGAGAGTATCAATAATTAGAAATATGTTTATGTATGCATTTCAATATTTTAAATTCCCTCAGTGTTTTTTTTTGTTTGTTTTTTGCTTGGAAGTTTACATTTTCTTGGGCTTGGTAGGTGCTTTGAAAGTACTTGCTGAATTTGTTCAGTAGGTACCTGTGAAATTGGGAAGGGAGCTAAATTGAGCCAATTGTCTGATAGACATTTAGGGACCCTGAGGAATAGAGAATAGTGCCTTATGTCATTGCATATGTGTCTCATAGTGCCTTGCATATTGCTGATACCCAGTAGACACTTGTCACTTGATTGGAGCTAGAGTTTTTGCCACTAAATGTTGCTTAGTAGCTGTGATTGGTTGCTTTCCATTTCAAACAGTGCCAGTGGCATCTATCTTTCTTGTTTTTCAGCTGCTCCTGCTAAGGCCAAACCAGCCGAAGCTCCTGCTGCTGCAGCCCCAAAAGCAGAGCCTACAGCAGCGGCAGTTCCTCCTCCCCCTGCAGTACCCATACCCACTCAGATGCCACCAGTGCCCTCGCCCTCACAACCTCTTTCTAGCAAACCTGGTAGGCCTCCAACTCCCACGTGTCAAGTGGGAGAACATCTCTTCTAATATGTTCTCTCACAGGGTAAACTCTTAAGACTAACCATGGTTCTGCTTTGTGGAAAGAATTCTAGACTTTGTATCTGAAGGCCTGCTTTGCATCTCAGCTTTCTGTTACTAGCTGTGTGACTTCAGGCCAGTCACTTAATTTATCTGAACAGATTGTTCATCTGTGAAGTTGGAGTGATTCTAATACACCTCAGAATATCTTGAAGATTGACAGTACATATGAAGACACTGGCACAAACTCAGTAGATGTTTCTTTCCTTGTCTGATGCAGCTTTATCCTCTTCTCATTTTCAGTGTCTGCAGTAAAACCCACTGCTGCCCCTCCACTAGCTGAGCCAGGAGCTGGCAAAGGTGGTCTGCGTTCAGAACATCGGGTAAGCCTCTGAGGACCACTTCCAGGAAAGAGGCTCAGTGGGGTGGTGTTGATTAGTGGAAAATGGGTGTGGTGGTGCCCACATTTGAATGACTAGCAGCTCATTCCGTCAGCCTTGACAAAGAAAGGGAGTTCAGGATATAACTTCTTCATAGTCACATAACCTTCAAATGATAGGACCAGAACTCTAGGTCTTTTGAACACTTGTTCAGTGGTTTTCCCACTAAATTATGCTACCAATGAAAGCTTTGGGTAAGTTAAATATTTGTAGGGGATGGTAGCTTAGTAACTCACCCCCTTCCTCCCACGATGCCACACACTTCAGAGAGGTGGTTTAGTGAGCTCTATTCCTATACTTCCGGGATACTTAGCTATAGCTAAGGGATAATATTCAGTAGCAATAGCTGTCAGTTGCAGATATAAAACCTCAAGGAAGTATGGTCAAGAGTGTGGTTCCTCTGCCTGAGAATACTTCCTAAAAATATGATAGCCTCAAAAGTTTGTTGCTTAGGAGGTTCTGTTCCACAAATAGCTATTCTCATGCAAGTCTTTATCAGTAGAAATTGCCCTTTCTCTTATGAATCTTATGCTGGCTAGACTACACTACACTGCATTCTTTCATAAAGTGGTTTTGGTTTTTAAATCACTGTTTCTGAACCTTCATTTTGGTCAAGCTTCAGGCACATCTGAGTGAGTAGTTTTGGCTTATTTTTGCTGGGAGGAGAAAGGGCCACCACAGGAAAGGGAATCCTGATGCTTTTGTTGTACTTAGATACTGTAGTCCTTGGCCCTCCATTCGTGGCAAGCCGTGCTGTTTCTGACTACATGGCGAATGCTTGACCCAGAGAGATCAGATTGTCAATACTTGTTCCACTTTCACTTTCAGGAGAAAATGAACAGGATGCGGCAGCGCATTGCTCAGCGTCTGAAGGAGGCCCAGAATACATGTGCAATGCTGACAACTTTTAATGAGATTGACATGAGGTAGTGTCTCTAGTCCTTTTATCCCCTAGGCCCTTTTTCTTAGAGAACACTTGAACTTGGCCAGGTGTGGTGGCTCACGCCTGTAATCCGAGTGCTTTGGAGGCCAAGGTGGTCAGATCACCTGAGGTTGGGAGTTCAAGACCAGCCTGACCAACATGGTGAAACCCCGTCTTTTTAAAAATAATAAAGAGAACACTTGAACTTGCCCCAGTCCTTATCTAGTGCTGATTCTAAAACTAACTTGTCAGGGAAGAGGCACTTCTTTGCTTTGTTTATTGTTGACTTTCACAGAGTGACCCACTGGCTTCATCTCTAATTGGCTTTCCTGATACTATGCCTGCCTTCTCTGTGACCTTAACCTTAACCTTAGCTAGGTGTAGTGACTCACACCTGTAATCCTAGCACTTTGGGAGGCCAAGGCAGACAGATTGCTGGAGTCCAGGAGTTCAAGACCAGCCTGGGTAACACTGTGAAACCTCATCTCTACAGAAAATACAAAAATTAGCCAGGTGTGGTGGTGCACACCTGTAGCCCCAGCTACTTGGGCTGAGATGGGAGGATCGCTTGAGTCCAAGAGGTTGAGGGTACAGTGAGCTGAGATCATGCCACTGTACCCCAGCCTGGGCAACAGACTGAGACCCTGTCTCAAAGAAACAAAACAAAACAAAACCCAATAACTTAGTGTTTTAGACTTTTAGTGTATGTGCTGCTGAAGCAAGGATGCGTTTTAGACTTTTAAAACTGAATCTTGTGATTTCTGATAGAGTAGTCATAGTCGTATACAATGACTAGTGTCAGGTTGCCAAACAGAGATGGGCAACCAGGCCAACATGGTTTATGCGCAGGTCTCCCACTCGGGATGGAGAGGCCTTGACAGCATGACTGGAGCCAGGGCACCATATCCTACTTCTTTCACACAGATTCAGAATCGGGTAGATGAAAAGGCAAAGATAGGTGGGGCTTGTCTTTCACTTTACCCAGCTTTGATAGCGAAATGGAAAACAAGTTGTGTTTTAAAATAACCTGAGAATGTTAACCAAAGGTACCAATTCACTAGGTGTGCTCATTTATGTAGTGAGCTAATTGTTGACTCACCTGTTTTCTTCAAGATTTTGATATGTTCAAGTATCAGCACTGTCAGGAAGAGAAATTTGACAAACATGTTTTGAGTATGTACTGTATACAGAGTACTATACTGTGGAATTCAGTGGGGATATAGGCTGGGTGCCATGGCTCTTGCCTATGATTCCAGAGCTTTTGGGAGGGCAAGGCGGGAGGATTGCTTGAGCTTAGGAGTTGGAAACCAGCCTGGGCAACATTACGAGACTCTGTCTCTACATAAATTTTAAAACTTAACCAAGTGAGGGCTGGGTGTGGTGGCTCGCACCTATAATCCCAACACTTTCAGGAGTCGAGGCGGGCGGATCACATAAGGCCAGGAGTTCAAGACCAGCCTGGCCAATGTGGTGAAACTCTGCCTCTACTAAAAATACAAAAATTGCCCCGGTGGCACATGCCTATAATCCCAGCTACTCGGAAGGCTGAGGCACGAGAATTGCTTGAACCCAGGAGGAGGAGGTTGTAGTGGCTAAGCTCAAGCCACTGCACTCCAGTCTGGGCAACAGAGTAGGACTCTGTCTCAAGAAAAAAAAAATTAGCCAGGTGTGGTGGTGCGGACCTATAGTCTCAGCCACTTGGGAGGCTCAAGCAATCCTCCTGCCTCAGCCTCCCAAATGGCTGGGACCACTAGGAACACAGGTGTGTGCCACCAGGCTTGGCCAATTTTTTTAGTTTTCGTAGAGACAGGGTCTTGCTATGTTGCCTAGGCTGGTCTCCCAAATTTCTAGCGTCAAGCCACCCTCCTGCCTTTGGGATTACAGGCATGAGCTACCATGCCTGGCCAGAAAATAATTTTTAACAGGTCTTCAAGAATGACTAGCATTTTGTCAGCGTTGTGGAGAAAGGTCATCCCAGATGATGTTAACAGTATAGACCCTGAGATGGGAAAGTAGAAGACACATTTGAGAAATTGTCAAAAATCATTTCTGTGAGGATTATGTATGTAGTAAAGAATGGTAAAGAAGGTTGTTGGATCCTTATTTCAGAATGTTTGGGGAATGCCAGGGTAGGAATTTATATTTAATTCAGGAAGCAAATCAAGTCTCAGGTTATCTCATTGTTTCTTTTTGTCCTGAGGGTTTAGTCTGTGAATCTACTTTTCCTTAGAGAAATTTGTTTTTCTTTGGAAGGGATTTGAAAAATAGGGAGAAGGGAGTCTTTTTTTCATAGCGTGGCATTGTTCAGAGTAGGGCTCTGTGACCTGTTTTACTAGATGCCATCCATTCTGTTGGGAAACTTTTGAAGAGACTGGATGACATTCAAGCCAAAGATTTCTCTCTTATTCATAGGATGTAGAGAAGGACCTTGACTAATGAGTCACAAAAGCTGCAGCTTATGTTTCAGTGCATTAGGGCCAGATTGTACCAAATTAAATTGGACTTTGAAATTCTACCCAATTTCTTAAGACAAAACATGTAAATATTTTGGCCTTGAAAGATGCAGTTGGCCCAACAGCTTTGATTGGAAAGTAAGCGTAATAGCTGATCTCCTTTCAGCAGCTAATCAAGGTGTCACTTAACAGTGGCCTGCGGTCTTGCTGCAGCCTAATCTGGTTTAGACAGAGTGCCCTTTGGGTCTTCTGCTTATCAGCTAACCCATAAGGGACCTTTCCAGACCTTCCCACTTCCCCTATTGTCTCAGCCTTTGCCTCCAAGGGCTGAGCTCTGAAATAGAAACTACTTAATGACCAGACAATAACATTTGGGCAGGTTTGAGAGCAGAGATGTTTATCACATCTCTTTCCCTCTTCTGCAGCTTTTGTGTCTTGGGAACCAGTAATGTCTTTAGGGTGGTAATCCTATCACTAAATAAGGTTAGAATCAGGAAACCAAACATTTTAAACCCGATCAGTCCCCCTTGAAAAATTTCCTTTTTCAAAAAACAAAAGATCTGAAGGGGGCTGTTAAAATTGTACCATATCTTACCTTTCATGCTAATGTCGAATTAGGCCATTAGAGAGAGAAAGGGAGAACTGAGCATTTGACCTTGAGATAATGTTAAATTCAGTTTTCATCATTTTCATCATAGAACTGCATTACTGCATTCCGATAAATGCTGAGGTTTCTGCAGCAAAGTAATGGGAAAACCATTTCCCACTAACTCCACAGCATGTGTTTGGGGAAAAAAAAAAGGTCCCAAAAGAATAAAGGCTGTTCATGTCGTAAAGGATTTTCAGAAGACTTGCTGCTTAATCTGAAGGGTACAGGCCTGTACCACAGGTAGCCACTTTTCTAACTACCGAGGAAATCACAGCCATTAAACCAATCTTAAGGGCAAGGGCTGTGTCTTAATTAGCTTTGTATCTTGGTGCCTGGCTCTGACCCTCACATATAGTAGGTGTTAGTACCTGTTTGAAAGAATGAGTGGATGGAGGCTGGGCATAGCGACTCACACCTGTAATCCCAGCACTTTGGGAGGCCTAGGCGGGCGGATCACCTGAGGTTGGGAGTTCGAGACCAGCCTGACCAACATGGAGAAACCCCATCTCTACTAAGAATACAGAAAATTAGTTGGGCGTGGTGGCACTTGCCTATAATTCCAGCTACTTGGGAGGCTGAGGCAGGAGAATTGCTTGAGCCCGAGAGGTGGAGGTTGCAGTGAGCCAAGATCACATCACTGCATTCCAGCCCAGGTGACAGAGTGAGATTCTGTCTCAGAAAAAAAAAAAAAGTGGATGGAACTGCTAGCTCTAGAAAGATGAAGAATGAGTGAAATCTGACTTTCCATGAATTTGAAAGAGCACTGGGCTATACCCTTCCATGCATAGTCATGACTGCTTTTTCCCACATGGAGCCTCATGTACTGGTGAGGTTTTTATTTTAATCTCCACTAATCAAGAGATAGGAAGAATATCACACAGGAGTTATACTCAGATTTGGTGGGGTATTTTTGGTATTCCAATAAGAAATAAAAAGAATATTGCTTATTTTGTAGGTTTTGTTTATACTTTAAAACATAAGTTTTGTCAGGTTGGGTAGCTTACAGTTATTCAGGGCAGAGATGTTGGTATGCTGTGTGATCTCTTGTTCGTATGACGTGTCACTGAAATCTGTGACTTCTAGACCATGAATGAGGCCTGTAAAGAGTTCAACCCACCTTAAAGACAGATTGGACCTGATTCCTTTATATTCCTTTGTAAAAGAACAGAGTTACTGTGTTAACCTCAGGCAGACTATTTCAAAACTTGAACTAAGGTAATGGTCCAGAGTAAGGGAAAAGCTCTCACCTAATTGTGTACATGGAGTGAGAAACCTGTGTGAAAGTCAAAATCAAGGCTTTGTGGTCAGTTTGTTTTGTAATATGTTTTTACAGTAACATCCAGGAGATGAGGGCTCGGCACAAAGAGGCCTTTTTGAAGAAACATAACCTCAAACTAGGCTTCATGTCGGCATTTGTGAAGGCCTCAGCCTTTGCCTTGCAGGAACAGCCTGTTGTAAATGCAGGTGAGTTGCTTGTGGCCAGAATTGGAGAGGTCCTGGGAGGTTGGTGGATGAGCACAGACCTGCTCCTACATGCAGAGGATCAACAGACCAAGGCTTTTTATTTGCTACGTATAGAAATATGAGTGTCTTCCCCAGGAATTTCTTGGTTCACCTTCCTGAAGCAGCACCATGCTTATTTTCTCCCACCAGCTGGGCAGAATACTTTCTCTTCCCAGTGCACAGCTCAGCAGCTGCTCAGGCAGCAGGCAGTTCTGGGATAGCCCAGTTCTCCAGGCTGTCTCCTGTCAAGGAGGAAGCTCATATTCTGGCTTCTTCCCCACCCCAGCTCCACAGGCCCTGTTATCTTGGGGCCTGACTTCCACACTTGGTGTAGGCTCCTGGCTGACCTTCGATCTCAGGTCATGGGCCTCACTGGAGCTTGGGCTTGACCTGTCTTTCATGGACTTGGTACTCATTTTCTTTCCTCTTTATTCACCTGCGTCATTGTAGTGTTGACCTAACAAGTAGTTTGTTTTTCTGTTGACACACTTCTCTGTTCTTTGGGAGATTGGAAAGGTGGGCAGTGATACTTTTGCCATCCTCAGCAGTGTCAAGGGCCCCAAAGGTCTAGAAGTAGAAGCCCTAGTCCCTCTCATTGAGTGGTGTGCTCTAGGGAAGTAGAAAGTCATCTTTGTTTTGCTCAAATGTATACCTCTTTTTGTTTTTTCCATTCTTTTTATGCCTTCCTGACTGGCTGTCTCCATCTTTTTCAGTAGGCCTCTTCTGCTTGCCCACACATGTAGGCAGCCCTCAAAATTCTAATGGCCTCTTTTTCACTTTACGTGCTTCTTCTGGATGTCTTATCTAACAATACAACATGGACTTTAAGTGGAAATGATTCTCAAGCCTTTTTTTCCCATTAGTGTTAGGTGTACATTTTCAGGTGCTGGTTTGCCATCCCTTGAGGGTAGCATATTCAAAGCCAGATCACCTTGCTTACTCTTGGATCTCCTTTCTGCCACTTGTTGAGAGTTGGAAGCAGAGACTGGGTAGCATCTCTATTCCCCTTTTCCTTTGCTAATTGCCCTTTTTTGGAACATTTGTTAACCCTAGCCATTCTCTGCTAAGGGAGGGCTGGAGTAGAGCTATTTAACAAGAATTTAGTGCATACCTATTCTCTGTAAGACAGGGTGTTCAGCCCTTCTTAGGGCTGCCAAAGAAATGGATGCTCCTATGCCCACGCTCAGTCGGGACTTGAGAGATACTGTACTTGGTTGGAATGGGAGTAAGTGGAATACCAGCTGCTGTGCATAAAGCACTGGTGTTCATGGTGGTGGGTCAGCCCACACTGTGTCAAGCTCTGCAGATTTTTACTCTGTTAATGCAAGTATTACTCATTAGCTTTAACCTGGGGAGTTGTGTGTAACGTGTTTTCTCTCTCACAGTGATTGACGATACAACCAAAGAAGTGGTGTACAGGGATTATATTGACATCAGTGTTGCAGTGGCCACCCCACGGGTATGTTGGGGCAAGAGGTGGGGAACACTGGTCTTAGACCCTCACCTTATCTGTGTGAAGAAGGAGATCACACAAGAGAGATCATTTCTTTAATTCTGTATTTTTAGAAGGAGTTAGTAAAAGTAACCTTTTTTTCTTTTAAACCATACCACATTCTTTTAAGACTTTCTGTTAATCACATTGAGTAATGAAGGTATTCTAGGGAGGGGATGCCACTGGTTGAATCAAAGGAGTTGTAACTATAAAAGGTACTATTAATTTGCAACTGAAAACAGCTCTTCACCCCCATCAGGGTCTGGTGGTTCCAGTCATCAGGAATGTGGAAGCTATGAATTATGCAGATATTGAACGGACCATCACTGAACTGGGAGAGAAGGTAAAGTAGAAAGATGCATGTATATGAGCTGCTGGGCAGGTGAGGAAAGAGAGCCTTCCGAAGGCCAGGCTCACCAGCAAGCAGCGCTCATGGAATGTAAAGTGCATAGCCCCTAGGAAAGACAGTGGCCCCTGAGAGCTAAGTATTTTATATATCTGGTGGAGTTTACCAGGCTCTGGTAACTGAAATCTCATCAGATGAGACCTGCTGGAAAAGATCTTTGAAGTCTTCAGCTGAATGAAATTGTGCCTTTTGGTGGAGCACTGGTCATGGTCACCTCAGCTGAACAACTGTCACACGGAAGCCAGCACTTGTGCCACTGATCTAAGATACAAGCTTTCTGGACTTCTTTGCTTGTTTTGAGAGACAGGGTCTTGCTGTGTTGCCCAGGCTGGAATGGAGTGGTGCAGTCATAGCTTACTGCAGCCTTGTACTCCTGGGCTCAAGCGATTCTCCTGCCTCAGCCTCCCGAGTAGCTGGGACTACAGGTGTGCACCACCATGCCTGGCTAATTCTTAAGTGTTTTGTAGAGATGGGGTCTTGCTGTGTTGCCCAGGTTGGCCCTGAACTCCTGGCTTCAAGCAGTCCTCCTGCCTCAGCTTCCCAAAGTGCTGGGATTAGGGACTGATTTTGTGTGAAGGAAGCTGGGTTGGCTTAATATGACAATTATGAAATCTGTTTTTAGGCCCGAAAGAATGAACTTGCCATTGAAGATATGGATGGTGGTACCTTCACCATTAGCAATGGAGGAGTTTTTGGCTCCCTCTTTGGAACACCCATAATCAACCCCCCTCAGTCTGCCATCCTGGGCATGCATGCCATCTTTGACAGGCCTGTGGCTATAGGAGGCAAGGTAGGAACCATCACTTCTAAGGTCCTAAGGTCCTAGTGGCTAGCTCTTGACAGGGAAATTCAACTAAGTGCTAATTATAAAACGTTCACTATAATTTCAGGTCTAAGTTCCATTTCTTAGTTTCTAATTAATAGCTGAGGCACTGATTATCAAATTGTAATCTGGATCAGCATCATCTGGGACCTTGTTAGAGATGCATATTCTTAGACCCCATCCCAGACTTAAAGAAGTGCAGATGATCCTGATGCACATTCAGGTGGGAGAACCACTGAGCTGAGAAGGCTTGTTTCCTTCTGTGGATTGGGGGATATAGGTGGAGATGGTTCCTTGTCCCTGGGAAACAGATGACAATTAGGCATGTCAGTCTGCGAGCTGCCAAGTTGTATGATAAAGCTTGGAAGTTTCCAGGGAGTTCAGAGAATGAAGTATTAAAAGGGGCTTGAGCTGGCCCTTGGAAGTTATGTTGGTATCAAAAACCTTTCTGGGAATTCTTGTGTTTAGAATCCTTTTGGGTCACTAACTCCTGTGTGAAACCAAAATATAAAAGGCAGTTGTGAGAAGACAGTTTTCTTGGTAAACTTTGTTTCTGAGTGGGGAGGCTTTGCACTGAGGATAAGGCTTGGTCTTTGAAAATACTGTAAATATGCAGAGGCAACATCAGTAGGAAAGGTTCTGGAATTGGGAACTTTCTTATGGGCCATGCTGAATCTCCTCCTTCAGCAAGGCTGTCTGTGGCTTGCTGGAGACAAACCTATTTACCCTTCCTCTCTGTAGGTGGAGGTGCGGCCCATGATGTACGTGGCACTGACCTATGATCACCGGCTGATTGACGGCAGAGAGGCTGTGACTTTCCTCCGCAAAATCAAGGCGGCTGTAGAGGATCCCAGAGTCCTCCTCCTGGATCTTTAGGAGGAAGCCACATACCCAACAAATCATGCAGGAACTGAAAAACCAGTCTTACCCCTGCCCCCTCATGGGTCCCAGGTTAGCCTGGTGACAGGCAGGCACATGCTGTTGGCCTCAAGCAAGGAAGCAGAGCACTATGTAACCAGCAGTCACAGGTCTTTTCTTGGTGTTCCTGCCAGGCTCTCTCCCTCTCTGCACCTGTCTCACACCCTTGACTATCTTAATTCCTTAGGCTTGAGAGAGAGAGAGCCTTAATGGATGCTCATTAATATTCCTGCCTTTCTTCCATCAGCCCTCTGCAAAGATGATTTTCCTTCTCCCTAGTGCCAGTATACTATAGAGAAACCCCTGGGGACCACATGATTAAGTTTCTGTCTTCAGAAAGTCTGTTCTACAGAGACGACTAGGAGGATGCTGTGCCTCTCAAGCTCAGAGCAGCCTCTGTCCTGGCTGTGCACATTCTCACTTGATTCCACCTGTGTGGAGAGATTGAACACAGGCAGAGGTGCTGCTTTGTTTCTTAAATGGCACCTTCATTCTCTGTTGTCATTGACTTCAAGATGCCTCTTCTACCTCTTCCAGGAAGCACAGGCCAGGGGATCTCGGTGGGTGAGTGGGAGAAGAGGGCAGAGGTCCCCTGAGGTCACATGTAATCCTCATGCAAGGAGATCCCAGACCTGCCCTCACGCTCTCCATCATAGGCTCACACCAAGATCTGTCTTGGCACAGTCTCTCACAGCTGGGGTTGTGGCAACCCTTTCTAAACCCTTTCCTGGTTGCTGGGCCTCATTCCAGCACCTTGTTCTTATTTAGAGCAGATTCTACCACATCATGGCAGTGGGACCAAGCATGGTCCCGAGGAAGGGCCAGAGCCTGGTAGAGACTAGGGAAGGGAGGTCTCCTTTAGACTGCCTCAAATTGACTTGAGCTTTTCAATTAAGTTGGTGTAAGCCCGTGAGCTGAGGAGGCAGTTCTTGTTCCTTCCTGCGTTATAGCGGGGACTTGTCTCTTCCTCTGCAGGACACAGATCTGGAGGACAATGGACTATGGTAGGAAGCCACCCTGAGGGTGTTAGTACATTGTGGTGAAATGGTTGAGGTCATTTCTAAGGTGTGCTACCCTTGGATCTGGGCACAGTCATTGGATTTCCTTGGAGTATGGTTAAATGCAAGTATCTTGTGGAAGCTAATGGGATTCATGGCTTTGTATCTAACTGCATCCAGGCCTGAGGCTGCTGACCTTTGACATTGGGGCCATTAGAAAGTGCCCTTTTATATCTTGAGCCAAGAAGTGAGGCCTGGGGGTGGGGGAGGGGGGAAGGGGTGGGAGCCAATACTGAGTGCCTGCAGCATCTACTACTCTATGTCTTCACTATTCAGAACTTGTAACTGAAGTATTTAAAGAAACAGATTTTAAATGCAAATTAAAGGGCAGATGTTCTCAAACAGGGTTCCTGCATCTGTGCTCCTTTTGGCTACGGAGGTTCAGGTCAGCAGCACTGTTGCATTAGTATTGAAAGCCACTTAAGGTCCTGTTGCTTATCTTGTGGAAGTTAACACTATTTCCTAATTTTTTTTTTTTTTTTTTTTTTTTTTTTTTTTCTATTTCCTAATTTGACAGAAGGTAGAACCCTGGCTGCCAGCCAGGAAATTGTTGACAAGAATCAACCTCTGTAAAATATTTGAAGAGATTCTGAGCCAAATGTGAGTGACCAGTGGCCTGTGACACAACTTTTAGGAGATCCTGAGAACATGTGCCCAAGGTGGTTGGTTTGGCTACAACTTAGTTTTATGCGTTTTAGGGAAACACAAGACACCAGTCAATACATGTAAGATGTATAGTGCTTTGGTCTGGAGAGGCAAGACAACTCAAGGCCCAGGGGTGTTGTCATAGGCAGAATCAAAGATTTTCTGATTGGCAATTGGTTGAAAAGTTATTAAAGATCTGGAATTAATAGAAAGGAGTATCTGGGTTACAATAAGGGGTTGTGAAGACCAAGGTTTTATCATGCAGATGAAGCCTCCAGCCAGCAGGCTTCAGAGAAAATAGATTGTAAATGTTTCTCATCAGACTTAAGGGGTCTGTTTTAACAGTAATTCCAGAAGGGAGGGCGGTATAATGAGGCATGGCTGGCTCCTCCTTCCCACCATGGCCTGAACTAGCTTTTCAGGTTAACTTTGGAATGCCCGTGACTGAGAAGGAGGGGTCCATGCAGATAGTTGAGGGGCTTAGAATTTTAGTTTCCAGAAGCATCATAGCCTCTTAATGTCCCAGCTTCCTTGAGCCTGTCAAGCCATACTCTAGAATTTGGGATCACCATCTTTGTGAAGCCCTTTTAAAGTACCAATAGACTTAGATTTTTTGTGGTGGCTTGCATTATTTCAGTGAAGGATTGGGGAGGGGTGGGGGTACCTCATTTCATTTGGATTTGATTACCTCATGTACCAAGATGCTCAAGGTCAATACAGATGAACAGGTGAGGGTTGATGGCCACCTAGAAGCACTGGTCAGTGAGGGTGAGTGTATAGGGTTGGTAGCTAACCTAGACTGCAGGTGGCAGGTGTGATGGCATCCAGGCTTAAACACAGCCTTATCCTTCCAGAGTTCCTGTCTGCTGATCACTCTTGCTGTGAGGCCATTCCTCTGTGAAGGTCTGTCATGTGAAGGAAATAGGTCCCAGAGGGCAGAACTAGATCTCTAATAGATAAAAGAATTAGGTTGAATGAAAGGAAGAACAGGACTTGGTGTTAGGAGCTTTCATTTCTCTGGTAAACCTGCAAAGTAGGCATTACTTGCCCCATTTTATTGAAAGGAGGTCGACTGTAAGAGCTGGGACCCACAATATTCTAAACTCAGGGCCCAACAGAGTGTCAGATGTGTAGTGGTTGGATGAGGCACAGAAGTTCCAGAAGTGACTTGTGTTTTATGAAGCAGTGGTTGGAAGTGGTCCAGCCTTACAGAGAGTAGCAGAAGGAACACTAACTTGTAACTCTGGGTAGGTTGTGTTCTTAACCTCTTTGAGCTTCAGTTTTCTGTTGCAAGGGGTCACTGAGGACGAAACTGGTATTCCCCCCAGGAACCTTGAGCCTCTTCCAAGACTTCTCATCCTTTTCTGCTTCCCCACAGAGCCCAGCCTGCCCCCTGCCCCACCATTTCCCCTGAGGCCCAGGGCACAGGTGGCAAGCTGCTCACCACCAGCCTTTCATCCTACTTCCTGGCAGCCTCCAACCTCACCCTTGATTTCACTCTGGAGCTTCTATGGCAAGAGCCTTCCAACCTGCCCCAAGAGCCACGCTCACTCACTGCATTGAAGAAGCAAGAACACAGAGGCCATTGCAGGCTTTATTGGGGCTGGGTAAGCCCCAGTGAGAGCCAGGATGTAGAGCACAGAGTCATATACAGGTTGCACTTTTGCATGTCCTCTCTGTCGCAGTCTCCTGCAGAGCCCGAGGAAGTCAGGCCGAGACAGGAGTCTGGCCTGACAAGAGTTGGGCCTTCAGAGCCAGATGGGAGAACCGTGTCTGAAGCGCCACCTGGTGGTGACTGGGATGCTGGCAGGGAGGAGTTGGAAGCAAAAGTCTAGTTTCTAAGGTCCCATACCCCAGTGATGGGGTGAACCCCAAAATGAAACCCCAAACTGGGGGCAGTTGTCTTAGAGTAACCACTTACCCCAGTTTTTCAGAGACCAGAAGCAAGACTTCTGGCTAAGAGCCATGTATAGTCGTTATATGTTTTGGGGTTTCTTATCTCAAAGGGTGTGAAGTCCTAGTAGGCAGTGACATGGTAACAGAACCAAGGCCTGAGAGGGAGTCCTGATGGGCACACCTTCGGCTGCTTTGGCCTGGAGGCTGAATTGCTGTCCTTTTGTGCCCCTGGGGCAGACTGCCCCCTCCCCACACAGAGGTGGGCCCCCTGGGGAAGAGAGCTCTTGATTCTGATGTCTGACTTGCTCTAAGGAGCAGAGCCGTGCATTCCTTCTTTCCCCCATTTCTCTTATTTTCTTCCCCTCCCTTTTGCTCTCCCAAGTCTGAAATCACAAGATAGGGGGCATGTTCAGGAATGGGGGAATCCCCCTGTCCCCCACCTCATCCCTCCCTGCCCCACAGATGGCATCCCTGCTTCTGGGCCTCCCCAGCTGCAGGAACAGCTTCTAGTGGAAAAGCCCCACTTGTGTGACTAAAATGACCAGCCAGGACAGCCTGGTTAGGGTCCACTGAGCCAGTGGATCAGTGTCCTGAGATGAGTCTCCAGAGATGTCCCAAGTAGGGCACAACATGGCAGTGAGTGAGTCACAGAACCTCACAGTAGGCGCAGCAGGTGGTCAGCTCAGCGCCAGTGCCACAGAAGGCACCCTGTAACATGGTGAGTCTGCGTGCTCAACAGGTCTGTTGACTGGCGGGTGGAAGGTTCAAGCTGCTTAGCAGGGTGAGCCTTGACTGCCCCTACCCCCTACTTTTCCAGGAGCTGGCCCTTACTGGAAGATGGCCATATGACCATAATTCTGAGGCCCTGGCAGGAGCCCAGCAGGACAGGCAATGCCCTCCATTCCTGTTGATAGAGGGCCAGCCCTAGATATCGGGCAAGGAGGAGAGGAGATCCAGGCCAGCTGCTTGCATTGCCCGCTTTGCCCTCTTACCCCACCAGTTTGCTCCACTGGATGGTACTGAAAAAGGGATGGGACTTGAGTTTGCTGACACCACCTTCTCCCACGCCCAGGCGCCGGGTAGGCTCGAACTGCAGCAGCTGTAGAAAGAGGCCCAGTCAGCTGGCTTTCCCCATTCCCGCTGCAGAGGCATGGGCAGACCTCCAGGGACTTTGACCACTATGGCTCCTTAGGGGGCTTGCTCCCTGGCACCCTAGCCCATGGAACCCCCTTTTTACCCTGAGGACAGTGGTGGTGGTTGGCCACCAACATACAGAAATGTGTTGACCCTGTTGCCCTCTGCACCCACATCAGACACCGAGTATGAAGCACATGTGGTTCACACACACAGTTCTGCGCCCCTCCCAGCACCTTCCTCAGGCCAGGCCGCTGCTTCCTCTGGCTGGGCTACACCTCACCTCAGTCAGCAGAGAGGCCGCTGGGCGACTCAGCCAGTCGGGCAGCTGGAGCTGGGTGTGGGCCTGGATTCCTGAAGGGTGGCTCTGGGACAGTGCCTGAGAGGACACAGGGAAGGGCCTCTGAGGAGGCAACCTCAGGCCTGTCTGTGTTCCAGTGGCAACCAGGATTTTCCCCATGTCACATCCCACGAGGATGATGACAATAATGATGATAGTTGCTACGGCCAGACAGTGCTAGATGCTAAGCAGTGCCTTTACATTATCCGCTAAAGGCAAGAAACAGGCCCAGAGAGGTAAAGGGACTTGTGCCGAGTTCAGGGTTTGGACCTAGGTCTCCCGTGGCTCTAAGCTTGCTGGAAGCATCGATCTTGGGTTGCAGTAAGGGCAGGCACTCGGGAACAGTGATGGAACTTGTCTTATTTAAAAATCCACAGGGACTATTCATTTGGCAGCAGGCTGTGGCATGCTACCATCAGGGCCAATGCAGGGATGTGGCAAGAAAAGAAAATAGGACCTCTCCACGCCCCAGAAAGCCACAGCTTCAGGGAGCAGAGGGTCTGTCTGGAGGGAAGTATGAGCTTCCAAGAACCCCCAGGAGGAGGGCCAGGAACTCTGGGCTAGAGAGATGGGAGGAGAGCCACTCGGAGGGTATTTGCAGCCAGGGTTCTTGGGGCCCTGTGACATGGGATGAAAGCAGGAGGGAGCCAGGATGGGCTGGTCAGGCCTGGACTTCAGTTCATACTACATCCATTCTGGCTATTTCCTGCTAAAATGCAATTTGGCCTCTCCCTTGCTGCCTACATAACTGGCCTCAGTTGCAGTGCTCATGAGAGGGGAGGACAGAAGGCAGAGCCCTCATCCTGTGCACAGGTTCCCCTGGTGTTTGCAGGGGGATCTTTTGAGCTTATGACTGACCAAGGCTGGACAGGGAAGCTGCTTGCCTGGGTGAAAAAGCCCCTCTTTCCCAGCCTCCAGCTAAGGTCTGGAGGTGACAGCCCCCGAGGGCATGGGTGGGAGGAGTGAACGGTAGGCTCAGGATGATCAACAGCCCTCCTGGGAGGAAGGGCTGTGACACACTGTGCTCCCTCCAAACTTGGGCCCAGGCACGCTCTGGCAGAAACCTTCCCTGACCATCCCACTTGACACTCCTTCATAGAAGTCGACAGTCTCCTTAGCTGTAGCCAGCTAAGTGTGTCCCTGGCTTCTGGGGCAGCTGTGTGGGCAGGACAGCCAGTCAGCCTCTGCCCATCCCACACTCAGCCTGGCCCAACTCACACTCAGTGGCACCCACCAGGGCACTACACCCAGCCCAGCCACTCACCATTCCTGTCAGCAGCTCATACAGTATGGACCCAAAGCTCCACCAGTCACAGGCTTCCGTTAGCTCTGAAATCCCACCCACCTCTGTGGGAACAAGAACACAAGGGTCCCAGCCTCACTCAAGAGGGCCTCTTCCATTCTCATCCTACCCTGACCCCACTCATCCCCTCTGTCATTCTCAGACTCCAGGCACAACCCCCACAAAGGTACCCAGGTGCCAGGGGCCACCCGGCCTCCCCCCTTCTTGCCTGGGGCGCTGTAGAGATTGTCCAGGGCCTCCCCGCAGCACTGGGGCTCCACCTCTGACCACTGGCCAAAATATGTGAGCCGGATGTGACCTTCTCCAGTGTGTGTAGGAGGAAAAAGGAGGGACAAAGATTGAGGATAGCTGACAAGGGGAAGGATTCCAGGGCTTCCCCAACAGTCATGCAGTGGGAGCCAATGGCCATGCTGGGCAGAACCTCCACAGGGGCACAGCACCCTGAGGCCCACAGAATACAGGGTACTCCTGTATTGCCCACAGACTCGGGCATAGGCCCACTGAAATGCTGGGTGGGGCCGGGGAGGAACAGACAATCTTGGAGTTCCCCTTGATTTTGGGGATCTCATCCTCTGCCTGGAGGCTTGGGGGCAGCCCCCCTGAGGGGTGGGAAGGGCACCTACCTGCCTGGTCCAGGAGCAGGTTCTCGGGGTGGAGGTCCCGGCACAGCACCCCCTGCTCATGCAGCGCCTCCAGTGCTACCAGCGTCTCCGCAGCCCACTGCTTCACCTGTTCCTCCCTCACTCTCCAGGTGGCACTGCCACAGCCTGGGCCAGCCCCATCCACTGACAGGCAACTCTGATTCTTGCCCAGCACTGGGCCGGCCCCCTCAGGAACCCAGGTGAGTCCCTGAGAGGTCCCAGTGTCTGAGTTCTGGCCAGCCCGCCTTGCTTGAAGGTACAGGTGGTCACTTGGGGCCTTTGGAAGGTCCAGGGAACCAGAAGTGCTGGTCCTGTCTGTGGGTTCACCTTCAGTCTCCCTCTGGGGTCTGGTGGATGGGGCCTCCCCGGCTGGGGGAAGGCTCAAAGAAGTCCTAGGAGGCTCCAGGGCGATTTTGACCTGCCCAGGGGCATGGCCTGAGGGGAGCCTCGCTGGGCTTAGGAGGTTGAGGTGGGGGTTGAGCTGAGCCTTCATCTTCTCCTGGGTAGAGTCAGATCTGAGCCCAGAATGTCGGGGGTGCGCCTGGGAGAGCAGGTGGGACCAGAGAGTGCCTCCTGGGCCATGCAGAGGGAGCGGTGAGCATGGGGACAGGGAGAAAGAGTGTGGATGCCAGGCCCTGGTCCCATTCCTACCTCTCCTCTGTCTTGGGCACAGAGCTTCCGCCTCTGGCTGTCCTGGCCTAGTTCAGCCCCTCACCAGTGCTCCCTCTCACCCCTCAGCTTAGAATTACCTCTGCCCTTTCGATCCCCGCCCCCCCCGCCGCCCACCGCAAAGCAGGCCCAGCCTCATGAATTGACACACCACAGATAGATGGATAGTGCTGTCCGTATTCTTGGTTTGGGTGGTGGTCTCACCAGTGTGAATACTTGCTTTTAGGGAGACTGATTTAAAGAAGACCAGGGAGGCTTATAATGACTGTGTCATGACCCCAGGATGTGTACCTGTTTAAAGGTCATCAATATAATCGGCAGTATCTGCCACATGGCCCAGTTCCTGTCCTCATAGCTTCAGTCACCACCACCCTACCTGGTCACTCCCAAGGGATCAGCACAGCCCAGAAAAATAAAAAGAGCCAACGCTGGAGGAAATGGCAACAAAGGAGACAGCTGCAATTCTCACTCCTGCCTATGATGTGGACATCCTCCCCAGGATGTCCCGTGCCCCCTTGGCACCACCACAGGCCCACAACAGCCTGATTGGCCTCCAGAAAGGCCAAGTTCCCTGGTCTGTGCACCCCTCCCCAGGACTCAGCTTTTTTTTTTTTTTTTTTTGGGGGGGTGCTGAGTCTTGCTCTGTCACCCAGGCTAGAGTGCAGTGGCATGGTGTCAGCTCACTGCAGCCTTCACTTTCAGGGTTCAAGCAATTCTCCTGCCTCAACCTCCCAAGTAGCTGAGATTATAGGCATGCGCAACCACGCCCAAATGGTTTTTGTATTTTTAGTAGAGACAGCGTTTCACCATGTTGGCCAGGCTGGTCTCAAACTCCTGACCTCAGGTGACCTGCCTGCCTCAGCCTCCCAAAGTGCTGGGATTGCAGGCCTGAGCCCCCATGCCACCAGGGCTCAGCATTTTAAGGGTTGATGACATACCCCAAAGGCCAGGGAGATGACAGGGGCCCCCGGCCTGCTCACCTTGCACATGCTCCAGGTGCAAGAAGATGGAGTCCTCGCTCACAAAGTACCTGAGCAGCTTTGTCATGTAGGGGACTCCATGTGGGATGATGGTCAGCCGCTCCCGGCTCACCATGTGGCACCTGGGTAGGCTCTGGGAGGGGCGGGGAAGACAGATCAGCTTGGGACAGGCCAGAGACTGCTGCTGTTAGGGGACCTCCTAGCCCTCGTTTCAGGGGCGCCTGAATGAGGAGTGGAACAACTGTCTTCCCCAGTTCCTGACCTGCCTTACCCCCATTGCCCCTGTAGAATCTGGGTCCTCCACCCTCTGGCCCAAGAGGCGGCAGTATGCATACACGTGTGTGTGTGTACATGAGACTGTGGAGGTCCCTCTGGAAAGTGGGGGATGCTTGGGCAGAACAATCAGCTTTTGGCGGGAGGGAGCACATGCTTCAGATGCAGGTTCTGGATGGGAGTCTCCAAGAGCCCTGAGAACAACCCAAGGGGATGAAGAGTGGCAGAGGCTGGGAGGCACTTGCCTTTACCACAAAGGTCCCTCCGGTTGCCGGGTCCTGGACCAGCTGCACCTACCGAAATACAAGAGGCACTGGTTAGGTGTGTGCTAGCTCCTGGGGCTTCGTGTCCCCAGCCTGACCACCCCCTACCCAGGTTCCTCCACTGAAGCTGTCTCACTCCAGTGGCAGGGCAGGGAGGGCAGGCTTTGATGGCACTCCCAAAGCTGACATTGATCACTGCTCATCCACACTTGCTAGACCTGTGGTCTCAGATGCTGCCTCCTCCAGGAAGCCTTTCCAAGATTACAGGGGCTGGGGTCCCTAACCTGTCTCTCATGCTCTCTGGGTTCACCCTCAGAGCCTGTTTACCCTGTCTAATCTGTTTCCCCACTGGACTGTGAGCTCTGTATTCCCAGATCTCCGCACAGCACAAGGATGTGGTAGATGCTGGACACATGCGCTGTAAGCAGCCCTCGCCTCGGCTCAGCCTGTGTGTGTGGTGAGCATGTGAGAAGAATTCCCTGCCTCTCCCTGCCCATGCTGGCCCAGGCCCCATTCCCCCTGAGGGGAGGGCTGAGAAAGCCCTGTTCCACCTGGACTCACTGGAGGTCAGCCTCTCGCCCAAGGCCTTGGGCAGAACACCACCATGCTGCAGGGTCTGAGGTGTCACAGCTGGAAGGGACCTCAAAGCCAGTCACTTTCTCTGACCCCACCCCCCCTTTTTTTTTTTTTTTTTTTTTTTTTTTTTGAGATGGAGTCTTGCTCGGTCGCCAGGCTGGAGTGCAGTGGCACTATCTCGGCTCATTGCAACCTCCACCTCCCAGGTTGAAGCATTTCCCTTGCCTCAGCCTCCCACATAGCTGGGACTACAGGCATGCACCACCCCACCCAGCTGATTTTTATTTTAGTAGGGACAGGGTTTCACCATGTTGGCCAGGGTGGTCTCCATCTCTCATCGTGATCCTCCTGCCTTGGCCTCCTCAAGTGCTGGGATTACAGGCATGACCACTGCACCTGGCCTCTGATCTGTTTTACAATTGATGTGCAGCCATGTTGTACAGGCTTGGCACACTGCCTTCAGGCCTCTTCCCCATTCCACACCCTTCATTTACACAAACCCCCATGACACAAGTTTATGTGAAAAACCTGTGTATGTGCTCCTGACTGAAAATAAAACTTGTAAAGTCCTCTTGGGAGGCCGTCCTCTACTTGTGTTTGTTTCTATTAGAGGCAGAGGCTGCCAATCGCAGGGTCAGGTCCATGTTTGGAGTTGGGTCCTTGACTCATCTGTGTGGTGGGCAGGGGCACACTGCAGCAGTACATGGGTACATCGAGGGCTGAAAGGCAGAGGATTCGGCCCAGGTGAGGGCGTGTGGAGCAAGGCCAGGCCATGGTGGTATGACTCCTTGGCTATTGGCCTGCCCTGAGACACAGGACTTGAGCCCAGGCAGACCAATCTCAGAGCCCTGCAGACTCTACTAGAACTAGGGGCACAACAAGGCGCCCTTGGCAAGGGCCTTCCCTCCTGAGCCTGCCGTGGACTAGACGAGCTCCCAGGACCTTTTGCAGCAGGAGCAAGGTGTCGTCTTTGACCACCAGAGGTCTCTCCTCCAACAGCCAGAGACCAAGTGCAGCCTGGGCTTGGCTCCCTGACCAAACTTGTGCAACGTTTGAAAAAGCAAGGAAGAAAACTCTGGAATCATTTAGGAAAACAGAGTTTCCCACAAATCCTGACACCCTGGATAATTCCCCACTGTCGCTTGCCAAGTGGGATTCCCCGCCACCTTATCCTGGGCAAGGCTGTCTAATTGACAGAGTCAAAAAAAAAAAAAAAAAAAAAAAAAAAAAAAAAAAAAAAAACTAGCAAAGGAGGGAAGGCTGGGGAAGCCAGAAATAAACCTTGATCTATCCACTGAAATATTTCTGTTAAAAAAATTAACACCAACCTCATTATCCAAAAAGAATTAGACTAAAACAGTAACAGTGATTATCTTGGAGTTAGGTAGGATATCAGGGGGATTTTTTTTTTCTCTCATATTTCAAAAGAGCAGCAGAGTGGGGAGCATTTTCCCATTCATTCAAACAAATAAGAAATCCCTTTTACTCAGTGGTTTGGGGGATGGAGGAAATGAGAAGGTGCCATTCAGCTGTCAGGTGAGCCTTCCATTTGGGAAGATGGAAGGCAGTTCTGAGTGTTTTCTCTCACCTTTTAAAAAAGGGCAATCGTTTTAAATAGAGACCCACAGAGTTCTTGGGACAGAGGGACAATTAAAGCTTTGGTGAAATGGTAAACATTTTCTTTAAAGATACACAAAGTATCAGAAGCCCAGGAGGAATCTCCCATGGAACAAACAAGCGTAAAGGTTTCAAACAGGAGGCTGGGTGTGGTAGCTCACGCCTGTAATCTCAGCACTTTGGGAGGTCAAGGCAGGTGGATGACCTGAGGTTGGGAGTTTGAGACCAACCTGACCAATATGGAGAAACTCCATTTCTGTTAAAAATACAAAATTAGCTGGGCATGGTGATGCATGATTGCAATCCCAGTTACTCAGGAGGCTGAGGCAGGAGAATCGCTTGAACCTCGGAGGCGGAGGTTGTGGTGAGCTAAGTTCATGCCATTGCACTCCAGCCTAGGCAACAAGAGTGAAACTCCATCTCAAAGAAAAAATAATAAAAAAAATCAAAAATCAAACAGGTTCTTAAACTCAAAGGCCCACAGGGGCCAGGCATGTGAGCAAATGGGCAGGGCGGAGGGGGGGGGGGGGGGGGGGGGGGGGTGCTGGTGCCCCATCTAAAGCAAGCATCTCCTCCCCCACTCCCTGCTGCCATGGGAGAATGGGAACCCAAGCGTTTCCAGATCTAATTTTTTCAAGAGAAGCAGGAAATCTGGACTTTTATAAAAATCTGCACATTTTAAAATGTTGGTAACAATTAAAAAAACACCCCTGTGTTAAGCCAAATAAAAGAAGAAGTGACTTGGATGACCTTCTTTTTCTTCCACCCCTTCTCAGAATCTAGCTCCTTGGACAAAGCTCAGCCAATACCCAGTGATGTCTCCCTGGCCCCCAGGCTCTGAGGGCAGGCCCTTGGGTATTCTGGCTGCTTACCAAGCCCCGACCCACCCACCTCACTGCTCCATGCCACCACCTCCTCAGCCCCTAGTTACTCTAACAGCCAGACACATTAGGGTTCACTCAAGCATCATCCTAAGCCAGCCCTTTGCTTCCTCCCTGAACCTGAGGGTTGCCGCTTGCTGGCACTGCCCACTTGCCCGGATCTGCCTGGGCAGAGCTGTGGAATGGAATGAAGGGGATAGCACATCCAACCCAGGCCCAGAGGAAGGAATAGCTTTCCTACTTTGGGGAAAGTGCTGCTCCTGGCGTGGGCACAACACAGGGAAAGGGAGTAGAATCTCAGGAGGGAGGTGAAGTCTTTGAGTATCCAAGATGGAGTAAAAAAGAAAAAAAAGCAGGGCAGTCCTAAAACAGAATGGGCTGGGCCAGTGGTTCACGCCTGTCATCCCAAGTGCTTTGGGAGGCTAAGACGGAGGTGGGAGGACACCTGAGGCAAGGAGTTCGAGACCAGCCTGGGCAACACCGCGAGATCGCTCTACAAAAAAACAGAAGAAATGAACAGGGCTTGAGCCTGTGGTTCCAGCTACTCAGGAGGCTGAGGCGGAAGGATTGCTTGAGCCTGGTGGGTTGAGGCTGCAGTGAGATCACACCACTGCACTCCAGCCTGAGCTACAGAGCAAGACCCTATGTCAAAAAAAAAAAAAAAGAGAGAAAAAAAGAATGGTTGGTCTTGGCCTTAATTTGTGCTTTCCATCTGCAGTGGCCTCGAAACACTAGATTCCTAAACCACTTTCCTGAGGCTAAACAAGTTTGGTGAATTCTGTATCACAGTGTGCATTTGCATCTAAAACCTCTAAGAACTCCTCTCATTAAAAAACAAAGCACTATAACTTGAACTCACTGTTTCCCTACCTTACTCAGCTCAGAACCCCTCTCACCATAACACATATGGTTCAGCAGGATCTTACTGGGAGGCCTGGTGTCTGTCGGTCACCTCCCTGAAGGTCTCTGGGAGCGGCTGTGCTGAGCCAAGGTCGGGTCGTGGCCACTGACACTGGAGCAGTGGGGAGGAGATCGTGGCAGATGGAAGCTGGCAGGGCCTGCACTGACCGTCTGGGGTCAGCAGTGCAGGGATTCAGGAGGAGCTGCCAGAGTAAGCCCTGGGAACAGGAGCCTGCGTGCCTCCCGGCTCACTCCTGTCACTAGTATTTAGAGCCATCCAGCATGTACTCAATGTCATAGCATGTGCCAAGTCTTTCCCCAAAATTATTTGACCTCCCAGATCACCCCGTAGGGGGAGAATTCTCATCTCACTTTCCAGAAGAGGAAACCAAAGCTCAGAGAACAGGGGGCTTGCCTGTGGCCACCCTGGCTGGTGCTCAGCATGGGGCTGTCCTGCGGGCAGCATGTCAGCCTCTTGCTGGTGGGAATCACAGGACTGTCTCCTTTTCTCTGTGGGCCCCCAGATCCCCCAGAATCACCTGGCGAGTATGTTAAATAACAGATTCTTGTGTAGCTGTATTTTTAGGAAGCTCTCCCTTTAACCAGCTTGGTAAACAACTTCTTGGGTGACTATTCCAGGGTTCGGGGGAAGAGGGGAGCCTCAAACCGGCTGGACTCTCATTTGACCTTATTCTCTGTCCTTCTGATTCCTTCACTCTAATAACAAGTGCCCCAAGTAGGGTTGGGACCTTGCCTCCTAGCTCCTTGTCTGCCCTGAACAAGGCAAAGGGTGCGAGATGGGGTTGAGATAGGGTGAAGTTAGAGTTAGGTCAAGAGAGAAAAAAGGGGCAGACTTGCCAAGGCCCTGGGCAAGGATGGGCCAGCACAGGCCCTCTCTGGACAGGTTTCTGGAGAGGAGCATGTCCCAGCTGCAGGAAGTCCCCAGCTGTGCTCCGTGGAGCGTCTTGGCTGCAGCCCTGGGGTTCAGGGTGAATATGGTGGGGGTGCTGTGGGAATCGGGAATTGGGAGTGAGCAGGGCCTCAAGGGCTGGCAGGGTGCCTGGGCACAGCGCCTCGCTCCTCCTGCAGTTTCTGTCCCGACTCTCCCAAGGAGCAGGTTTTCTGGGTCTGAGCTTCAGGGCTGTGGAAAGGGCCTGTCTGCCTCTTCTTTTTATATTATATTTTAAATTTATATTTTATATTATTTGATTTGAGATGGGGTCTCACTCTGTTGCCCTGGCTGATCTCTCAACTCCTGGGCTCAAGCAGTCCTCTTGCCTTGGCCTCCCAAAGTGCTGGGATTCCAGGTGTGAGCCACTGTGCCTGGCCAACCGGCCTCTTCTCGTTCCCCGCATTTTCTTCTCCAGGACCCAGGACTGAGTCATGCGTGTTGGGGATGGGGGAGAGGTGGGAACTGCTGGACACAGCTGCACTCCCCTCTGACCCCTGTCCACCCCCTCTGGAGGAGTGGGGGCCACTGCTACAGACCTGCTTTCACCACATCCCATCTTCTCCCCGCCACCACCCCAAATTGCATACCCTGTCTCCCTCCTGCAAGACAAGTGCTCACTCACTCACCTTCTTGATGACCCCGACCACCCTGCAGCCCCTCAGCTGCTCCAGGCCAGAGCTCAGCGTGCGGATGGGCCGGAGCCTCAGGCTGCTGAAACCCTGCAGAGGAGGGAGACAGTCCACACACAGCCTCAGGGCCAAGCCCTCCTCAGCCATGGCCTTCTCACCAGGCTTCAGGCAGGGGCTTCTGGATGCTAGGAGAGCAGTGCGGAGGGCAGGGGGACAGGCAGGCCCCGCCCCACAGGGGCAGGCTGGGTGGAAAAGCTGGCCTTGACTGACAGGCACCCATAACCATCCAGGGTGGCCAGGCCAACCTCTCTGCTCAGCCCCTGTCCAAGGCCCATGAAGTTCTTGGGGCTTCAGAAGCCCCCTCTCAAAAGCCCCATCTAGGCCAAGTGCTATGGCTCACGCCTGTAATCTCAGCACTTTGGGAGGCCAAGGCGGGCAGATCACTTGAGGTCAGGAGGTTGAGACCAGCCTGGCCAATATGGTGAAACCCCATCTCTACTAAAATACAATAATTGGCCAGGCGTGATGGTGTCTGCCTATAATCCCAGATACTTGGGCTGCTGAGACAGGAGAATTGCTTGAACCTGGGAGGCAGAGGTTGCAGTGAGCCAAGATTATGCCATTGCACTCCAGCCTGGGTGACAAAGTGAGACTCCATCTCAAAAAAAGCAGAAGCTCCCAAGATGGGGGTAGGGAAATAACTTGGGAAACTGAGTCTCAGGGAACATGCCTCAAAGACCAAGCACCTGCTCTGGGGAAGGCAGCCTCACAAGATGCAGAGCCGAGGAGGACCGTGCGAGCGTGCGCGTCTGTGGGGTAAGAAGCCTGCACGCATTCTCCACCCTCACCGAGCACTTACTGGTTTAGAGAAGCCATGTGGGAGAGTGTGTGTGCATACGTGGGTGTCGCAGTCTGCTGCAAAACGTATGCCAGTTCACAACCGAGACAGAATCAGGAGGCTCTGAATGTGGACACGCGCAAGCGTGTACATGGGCCCGTGTGCAAGGCTGGCAGATGTATATGTGCACACGTCGAGTGCTCTGTGAGGGAGCAGACTGAACTGGATATGGCTCAGTGAGTTGTTTGGAAATGAATGAACCATGAGACGTGGGAGAGAAAGGAAGCCAGCAGGAGAAGAGGATGGGACGCCCTGGCACACTCCAGCCCAACTAATACCTCCACTGCCAGCCCCTACCCTGCAGCCCAGGGCGGGCCTGTGGGTCGGGGTCTCCGCAGTCTCCCCTCAGAGCCCGCCTCCTGCTCAGGCCTTTGGACAGGGGGTCTCCTCACCATGCTGGGGCTGGCTCCACTGCCCAGTGGCCGCTGCAGGTGGCAGTTGAAGATCTCCTCTGCCCGCCGCAGGTACTTGGTAATTTTCAGCTTCACAGCCTCACGTCGCTCCTTGTTGGGGTCGACTGTGGGAGACGAGGGTCACCAGGGTCCCCAGCCCTGGCCTCAGAGGGCTGGAGTCCTAGCTCCATTGCCTGCCCTCTGCCCTCCCCAGGAGAGAGCTCCCGTTTCTAAGGCTTGTTCGGCAGATTCTGCCCCCAGATGACGTCGTGAGCCCCTCCTCTGGGGTGGGGAACCAGCCAGGAAGGAGGAGGATGGGAGCTGGCAGGAGGAGGTTGGGAACCAGGACCACTCCTCAGCAGACAGCACTTCGCTGTTGGCACCCTCTGCCTTGCTGGCAGCTGTCACACCCTGGGAAGGGACAGGGTGGGGATTTCCCCAACCATTTTTTCAGAGGAGGGGACAGAAGATTCCAGAGAGCATTGCTTCTTCCATCTCTGATGCCCAGTGTGAAGAAGGCTAGGGTGGGGACCAGGATTGGAGGATAAAGGAATTGACTGGACAGACTGGAAGCCCAAGCTTGAGGGGTCTCCTTAGTTGGATGGCAGGGAAGGCCCAATGCCCACCCGCAGCTTGGCCACCAGGGCCCACAGGCGTCTCAAACTGGCCTCAGCACCAGCCTCTCCCCCCGCCCCCCCGGCGCGGAAGTTCCTCATGCTGCCCTGAAGGGAACTTCCCTGTCACCTCCACGCCTCGGCTGTTCTCGCTGTCTCCAGCCAGTCCTTCACCTAGTAACGCACCTACCAACCTCCAGTGCTCAGATTAGAGATCTAACCTCAGGAAAATGCTCTAGGCAGGCCCAGCCTGAACTGTTTCCCTCTTTCCTCCCTTCACTTTCCCCCTAATCTTTCTGAGACTATAATTGTCCAAATCAACTCATCAGTCTCCCCTCACTAGAATGCAAACTCCCAGAGGGCTGGAGCCCACCCTAGCTCCACAGACAGTCAAGTGTGGTGGGCCAAGTACACAGCCTGTGAAGTCAAACACCAGCTCTGCCATTTCATAGCTGTGGAGCCTTGAGCGAGCTATTTAACTGCCCCATGCCTCAGCTTCCTCATCTGGAGCATGGTAATAAAACAAATGGTTCCCATGTACTAGGAATGACAGACAAGAACATACATAGTAATTTCTATTACGGTGAAGCTCAAATGAATGAATCTACATAAAGCCCTTGGAATGGTGCCTGGCACGCAGGAACCGCTTAATAAGTGCCAGCTATCATTGTCCTTCGCGGAGGCTCTGCAGGCCAGCATAGTGCCCTGCTCACCCCGTACGGATGGGCAGAGGACAGGAGAGATGGTGACAGGAGGAGCCCTGCCCTGGCCCCTTCCCCCTGCCCAGCCCCACCCAGCCCCGGTCCTCACCGTGTATGCCACGGAGCAGCACGTCCACACCATTCTGATAGTGGTTGAAGGCCGCCTCATAGTCCTCACTAACGTCTCGCTCCAGAGCCAGACGGATCTGTGTGGCTGCATCCACCAGATAGTCACGCTTTGTCACGTCAGGCGCCCCCAGAGCCACCCTGTTGCGAATCTGCTCCAGGTACATGCGAGCCTGGGACCGTGCTCGTGAGCAAGGCTCAGGCTCCAGGCCAGGGCTGGGCAGGCACTCGCAGGCCACCAGGCTCATGGCTGCCCTGCAGCTGGGACCTGGAATGGGCAAATGCGTTAGGGAGGACCTAGCTGGGAGGACACCCCCATCCACATCCCAGTCTCCCCCACTGAATATCAGGGAGACTAATGTTCACCCCCAAAGACTGGAGGGGTCAGAGCTAAAGTGGGTAAAGTCTTTTCATGGCTCCAGGTTCTTCCTAAGTGCTGATAATGGTAGAATCATAGCCAGCTTAGGGATTTTTTTTTTTTTTTTTTTTTTTTTGAGACAGAGTCTTTCTCTGTCACCCAGGCTGGAGTACAGTGGTGCAGTCTCAGCTTACTGTGACCTCTGCCTCCTGGATTCAAGCAATTCTCCTGCCTCAGCATCCCACGTAGCTGGAATTACAGGCCACTCGCCTACCACGTCTAGCTATTTTTTTGTATTTTTAGTAGAATGGTGTTTCAGCATGTTGACCAGGCTGGTCTTGAACTCCTGACCTCAAGTGATCCACCCGCCTTGGCCTCCCAAAGTGCTGAGATTACAGGTGTGAGCCACCATGTGGGCCTGAAGCTGTTTTCCTTTCCATTCTAATGCAGTTCAGCAAACATTTCTGGAGCATCTAGTACTATGTTGAGCTCTGGAGAGAGCTGAGAATATTTGTGATCCATAGCCACCTTCACGGGGTCTCCATGGAGCAAGGCTGATGTCTAGTATGCATTCAGCACATGGAGGCCACACACCCCAGGCTCAAATGCTCTTCCTCATGCTGTTCCCTCCACCCTGCCTGTTCGTCCCTCCCCCTCCCCCACTCCTTCTGTGGGAATCTCATTTACCCTTTGGGGTTCAGCACTTCTCTGTGGATGGGTTGGATTGCCCCTGCTGTGTTTTGTTCCCTTGGTTCTGAGGTCAGTGTGGTCAGCAAGTGAGGACCTCTCCTGGAGCCAGCAGAGAGCTAAGCACAGCGCTGGGCCAGGAGATCTGTCGGCAGATGGAATGACTGCGTGGCAGACTTGGTGCCACATTGGATGGGGCTGGAAGAGCGCAGGGTGACCCAGCCCCAGGGAGGATCGCTCTGTCCTCCTGGCTTTATCTTTGAGAAGACCATGTGGTCTCCAAGGACCTGACAGCAGCTCCTCCCTGAGCAATGAGTGACCCAGGCAGCCAAAGGGATGAGAGCTGTGGCTGCGGTTAGGGAAGGGGCTTAGAGAGGAGCCCGCACAGCTGCCTGGCTTTTGCTCTCCCAGGTCCCTTTGGGAATGGGCAGGGCCTGGAACTTCCAACCCCAGGTCATTTGGAGAGAGGGAGGAGACAGCAGGATGGGCAGTGGGGCGGGAGGGGAAGCCCACAGCCTCAGCCAGTGGCAGAAAGCCAGGACGCGGCCAGGAGGCGGAGGGAGGCCGCACCCTCCCCTCTCGGCCAAGCCCAGCGGGGGACTTGAGGCTCTGAGGCCTTGCTCTGGGGGTCACCCAGGAGGGTTGTGCTGGCTTCAGGGGCCACCCCGCCCGGCCGGGTCCTGCCGGGCAGAGCTGCCTGGCTGCGCCTGGACACAGAAAGCGGCACGTGCAGCCCGCGGGGCCCCGGCCGCAAGGTGCACGATCCCGCGGGGAACGGCTGAGGGGGCCCCTCGCTTGGGAGGGTGGAGGAGGGGCCGGACACACACCGTACCTGCCCGAGCTGGGAGCTGGGTCCGCAGGCCAGGCCTCCCCCTGCCGCCACCGGCCCTTCACCGGAGCGCGCCGCGGGCGGCTACTTTCTGGCGTCCGGCAGGTGCGGGGCCAGCCGGTGCAGCGCGGCCATTGGCTGCGGATGAGCTCATCCTTCATCCTTAGAATAAACCACCAATCACCGCCCGGCTCAGTTCCTGCCGGCCTTAAAGCCACAGGGTCTGCGCTGCGGGGGCTGAAGGGGGCAGGGTCGGCTTAGGGAGAGGAAGGTAGGGTGGGGTGCAGGGTGGGGTGGGGAGAGCAGGTCTAGAATCACCCGGGGATGCGGAAGGGGCTGCTTCAGAAATCTAGGCCATGTGCCACTTCTAGGACTTTTCTCATTCATTGCTTCATTCATTTATCCAGCGATTCAGTGCTACGTATTGAGAGTCTACCATGCACGAGGAGCTGGGTGTTGAGATGTAGCAGCGGACTAGACAGCACTGCTCACACCCGCATGGGGCTTACAGTCCAGTGAAGGCTACAGAGAATAAAGATCCCAGCAATAGGAGGCTTTTGATGTCAGAACCTAACTCAAAATTGAAGACATAGGCCGGGTGCAGTGGCTCACGTCTGGCATCTCTGCACAATGGAAGGCTGAGGCGGGAGGATCACTTGAACCCAAGGAGTTCGACACCAGCCTGGGCAACATAGGTAGAGCCAATCTCTATAAAAATTACAAAATTAGCCAGGCATGGTGGCGTGTGCCTGTGGTCCCAGTTACTCAGGAGGCTGAGGTAGGAGGATGGATTGAGCTTAGAAGGTTGAGGCTGCAGTGAGCTGAGATTGTGCCACTGCACTCCAGCCTGTGATGGGTTAAGACCCTGTGACACAGACCTCACCTGCAGGCTCAGTGCTGACCGGCCTCACTCTGTCCCCCACTGTACTTGCTCTACCCTAGACACCCTTTCATACTTTCTCCCTCTCACTCCCAACGGTCCCCCATCCTCACTCTCAGCCTTCCCTTGACAACAGTGGCACACAGACTCCCACAGACCTACTCCTGGCCCGCGAGTAGGGCTGTGCCCACACCCTGCCTCCGATCTTTTTCCACAGGTGACTGTGCCCCATTGAAGGCCACCCTTCCATGTGAACATCAGTCCCGCCATCACCTACTCAGCGACACCACTCCAGCGATTCTCCCCTCTCTCCCACGGCATCATTCCCATCTGATACAAACATAAGGCTGTTTCTCCCCTCTCAAAAACAAAACAAAAAAACGACCAAACAAAACAAAATACACTCTTGGCCTCACTTCTTCCTCTACCTACCACCCTAGGTTGGCAATATGGCTAATTTTCTTTTTGTTTGTTTTGTTTTTTAGTAGAGATGAGGTTTCACCATATTGCCCAGGCTGATCTCCAACTCCTGAACTCAGGTGATCCACTCACTTTAGCCTCCCACAGTGTTGAGATTACAAACATGAGCCAACACCTGGCCCAAAAGTAGACTTTTGAAACACATCCTACAGAATGGGAGAAAATACTTGGAAATTATATCTGATAAGGGTCTAGTTTCTAGAATATATAAAGGACTCTTACAATTCAACAACAAAAAGACAACCCAGTTAAAAAATGGGCAAGAAATTTGAATAGACATTTCTCCAAAGAAGATATGCGAACGCACGCCATAAGCACATGAGAAGACGTTCAACCTCATTAGTCATTAGAGGAATACAAATTAAAAATCACAAGGAGACACCACTTCTCACCCCTAGGATGGCCACAATAAAAAAAACAACGACAAATGTTGGCAAGGATCTGGAGAAATTCACATATTGCTGATGAGAATGTAAATGGGTCAGCTGCTTTGGAAAGCAATTTGGCAGTTCCTCAAAAAGTTAAACATAGAGTTACCATATAACCCAGCACTCTACTTCTAGGTATATGCTTAAGAGTATTGAACACATATGTTCACATCAAAACTTGCAAATGAATGTTGATAGCAGCATTATTCATAATAGACAAAAAGTGGCAACAACCCAATGTCCATCACCTGATGAATACATAAAATGTGATGTATCCAAATAATGGAATATTATTCAGCCATAAAAAAGAATAAAGTGCCGACACATGATACAACATAGATGAACCTTGAAAACATTATACTAAGCGAAAGAAGCCAGTCACAAAGGACACATATTGTATATACTTCCATTTATATGAAGTTTCCAGAGACAGAAAGTTCATGTCAGGGAGGGGACAATGTGTATGGGGTTTTTTATTGCAGTCATCAAATGTTCTAGAATTAGTGGTAAAACCTAGTGAATAATATACTAAATTGTATATTTTAAAAAGGTGAATTTTATGGTATGTGAATCATCTCAATTAAAACAATCATTACAATAAAAAAGAAAAAGAAAAAAAAAAAAAAAAAAAACCAATGCCTGAACTCTTGATCCTGCCCTGAAACCTTTTCCACCTGGAGCCTTTCCCAACCCCATCCTCATGATCTGCCCATCCTGTTGTTGCTCAGGCCAGAAATTTTGGAACCATCCTGACTTTAAAAAATTTTTTTAAATTTTTTTTTAGAGATGGGGTTTCGCTATGTTGACCGGGATGGTCTTGATCTCTTGACCTTGTGATCCACCAGCCTCAGCCTCCCAAAGTGCTGGGATTACAGGCGTGAGCCACTATGCCCGGCCTCATCCTGACTTCACTTATTTTCTCACACAGCCCCTTGCCCCCTCCATTCTTCTTCATCTTCCACCAACCTCACCCACTGAGCTACAACTCCTGACACACACCAGGAAGCCCTCTCTCCAGGGCCTCTGCCTGGCAGCTAGCTTCCGTCTGAAATCGTCTACACCAGGTATCTGTCTGGCTATCCCTGTCCCTGGGTTTTTTTCGTTTGTTCTTTTTTCAACACAGAGTTTCGCTCTATTGCCCAGGCTGGAGTGCAATGCTGTGATATTTGCTCACTGCAACCTCCACTTCCCAGGTTCAAGCAATTCTCCTGCTTCAGGCTCCCAAGTAGCTGGGATTATAGGTGCATGCCACCACGCCCAGCTACTTTTTGTATTTTTAGTAGAGATGGGGTTTTACCTTGGCCAGGCTGGTCTTGAACTCCTGACCTCAAGCGATCTGCTTGCCTCAGCATCCCAAAGTTCTGGGATTACAGGCGTGAGCTACTGTGCCTGGCCCCTGCCCCTGTTTTGAGGCATTGTCCTGATGTGACTTTCTTGTGAGACCTCCTGAGTAGCTGGGAGTATGGGCAAGTGCCACCATGTTGGCTAATTTTTTATTTTTTGTAGAGACGAGTCTCAGTATGTTGCCCAGGCTGGTCTTGAACTCCTGGGCTCAAGCAGTCCTCCTGCCTTGGCCTCTCATAGTGCTAGAATTACAGGCATGATCCACCATGCCCGGCCTGTTTTTATGTTTATTTCATTTTCTATCCCATGTAAGATCCATATGGGCAAGGGTTTTTTTGTTTGTTTGCTTTGTTCATGACTATCTCCCAAGTGCCTAGAAGAGCATCTGGCACATAGTATTATTCAATAAATATTTGCTGAATGAATAAGTGCTAAAGAATGAGAAGGAATTAACCAGGTAAAGTGGTTAGAGAGGGCAGTGGAAGGCAATGTGCTAGGAGGAGAAACAACATGTATAAATGCCTTAACCAACTAAGGGAGAAACAAACAACATTTGCCCATCAAACAGATGGCATGAAGTCATTTGATAAAAGTCAGTATGTGTTCACGATAAAGACAACCTCTTAACTTGCTTAACAAACTAAACAAACCCCACGAATGTACTTCTTAACTTGATAAGGTGTTATCTGCCAGAAACTTAGAGCAAACACCACAGGTAATGGTGGAGCATTGGAAGCATTTCCACAGTCTAACTGTCCTCTGGTGTCTGGAAGAATCCCACTCCTCTACCTCTTCAAAGACAGGCTGAGCCATGACACTTGCTTTGAAGTACCAGTGAACAGAACATGTGTTGCTTTAGGGTGGAAACTCCCGGAGTCAGTGCATAATTCATCTCGCCCCTTCTTCCTGCCTTATTGGTCCTGGAAGCAGCTGGCCATGGAGGTGCGCAGCCTCAATTAGCCTGGATCCCTGAGAAACAACAATAAGGGGACCCCTCCTCTGCCCTATGACTTGTGTTACACATAAAGTATGAGTGAGAAATAATTTTTTTTTTTTTTTGAGACAGAGTTTCCCTCTTGTTGCCCAGGCTGGAATATAGTGGCATGATCTGGGCTAACTGCAACCTCCACCTCCCAGGTTCAAACCAGTCTCCTGCCTCAGCCTCCTGAGGAGCTGGGATTACAGGCATGCAACACCATGCCTGGCTAATTTTGTATTTTTAGTAGAGACAGGGTTTCTCCATATTGGTCAGGCTGGTCTTGAACTTCCAACCTCAGGTCATCCACCTGCCTCAGCCTCCCAAAGTGCTGGGATTACAGGCGTGAGCCACTGTACCCAGCTTTTTTTTGGGGGGGTGGGGGGGATGGAGCCTCACTTTGTCACCCAGGCTGGAGTGCAGTGGCGTGATCTTGGCTCACTGCAGTCTCCACCTCCCGGTTCAAGTGGTTCTGCCTCAGCCTCATGAGTATCTGGGATTACAGGTGTGTGTGATCCCTTAACCTCATGATCTGCCCACCTCTGCCTCCCAGTGTTGGGATTACAGGCGTGAGGCACCATGCCCAGCCTACTTCTAGATATTTAATCTAGGAAAACACTTGCCCAGATACAGAAGAATATATATGGATATTTATAGCAACATTGCTTGCAATATTAAGACTAGAATAAGGTCCAAATATAATATCATATGTAATATCAATAAGAAATGAATTAACATGTGGGATATTCACATATTATTTTCAGCATTTTAAAATAATGAATCTGAACCAAATCTATGTGCATGAACATGTATACATCTTAAAAGCATATTCCTGAGTAAAAACAGTCAGCTCCTAAATGCCACCTATAATGATGCCATTTATATGTTTTAAAAATTGTTTTATTCTTTTATTAATCTTTATGCCTTTGTAAACATCGTATCATTATTATTTTGAGACAGTCTCGCTTTGTCGCCAGGCTGGAGTGCAGTGGCGCGATCTCAGCTCACTGCAA